GGACTAGCTGGTAGAAAGCTTTGATTGTGTTTACCAAAAGTGCTCCGCTCTAGTCCGTGACAGGATTCTGTGCCCTTGGGAAGAAAAACAAAGCGATCCAGTAGTACTCGTTTGAACCAGAGCAGGTTTTAATCCACAGTTACATGTTGTTGTTGTTGCAATCCCTCGTGGCCTGCTGGTTAAGTAAATCTATATAGTGTACAGATAGTTCTGTTTCAGTTTTCAGTGCTGCTCTCGGTTAGTAATGCATACCATCCTCTGTATTCATATTACCCCTTAATATTAGTGCGGCATGCTTTTTTACAAATTAGTAAATAAACATGAATCAAATAGAATGTGAATGGGGTTTATCGTAGAGCCAAAAAAATTCATCAATTAATCATTGACTGACAGAAAAGTAACATTCAGCTATTTTAATAATAATCTAATTGTTTCTGTTATTTATTAGGCAAAAACATGAAATATCACTTGTTCCAGCTTCTCAAATGTGAAGATTTTAAGCTTTTCTATGTCAAATATGATAGCAAACTCAATGTCTGGGTTTTGAACTGAGGTTTTGAACATCAACAAACATCAACACAACAAATTTGAGTATTCCACCTTGGGCTCTGGAAACTTACTAATGGGGATGTTTCACTATAATGATTAAGGTTACCATGTAACTTGTATTGTATTGCCAGCGTGTGAACGGATTGTAACGTGACTTAAAAAATTTGGCCTTCCCTGACTTTCTCGGCTGCCTATAACAGGTTGTGGACTGACTTCAATGTAAAGGATGTTTTTCTGAGAAAATTAGTAGCAGTGTGATTGGGTTGCAGCTGACTAGCTAACCTTAGCTTGCTTGCTCGCCAACTGTAAACTAAGATAAGCTGGGGTTTGTCACACAGCACTCTATAAAATGTCTCTGCTGCAGTTCAGTTAACGGCCACCAGTGTCATCAATAAGAAGGGTTTTCTGAAAGTTCCAAAAGAATGTTTAATTGGTTTATTGGGAAAATAACTGTCAGTCAAGCCCTAGTTGCTTGTAGTGACAAACGCACAGAGAATTATCACTTGAATCAATGATACATCTCTACTGTGTGCTCCACTTTTTGCTCAGCTCATTGTTGATGTTTTCTCACCCTAAAAGGCAGCTGTTATTAGCAAGTAAGTTCTAATAAACCAGCTTTATGCATCCTGCCCAGAACTGAACAGCAGACACAAAGTAAGCGACAATATTCACCGGTTAGTCACTAACTCTTAGCAGCTAAAGAGCCAGATAATTCCCTCAAAAGTGCGAAAAAGAGAGTGAATGTGGGACTTACATTCTTCAGGTCGCTAGAAACATGCTATAATAAATGCTAATGTCGCGCCATGTCTGCTGCATGTGTAGATCGGCAACATTTTGCTAACTGTTGGCCTGATACAACTTCATACAATAATAATATGTAAGTGCTGTGTTGAGTTTGTTGTTCTGCTGTCCCCAAGTAATCAGGAATTGAATGAACGCTGCTTTCATGTAGACCAAATACACAAGTTTGTGGTTTTCTAAAATACTGTCCATCCATCCATTGTCAACCGCTTATCCTGCATACAGGGTCGCAGGGGGCTGGAGCCAATCCCAGCTGACTTAAAATACTGTAACAATTATAAATATTTTTTCTTTACTAAGCCTTTTTTTGTAATCTTTTAAACATTTTGGTTTTTATTTCGCAGTTCCACCTAACAAATTATTACTCATAATCACTCATGTAGTGTATAAACATCTAACAAACAAATCTGGTTCCAACTGATTCTAGTTATACTGGATATATTATTCAACTCTGGCTCACTGCCTTTTTGTTGCTGCAGGCAAGATAGATTTTCCCAACGTGACAACAGCTTGATATCAGGTGTAAAAGTCACTGTGACAAAAGACACTTGAATCATACCGTGGGAAAGCATCCCTAATTGTCTGGGAATCTGAATATTACCCTCAAAAAGTAATGCAGTGAATTGAAATATACAGGTTTTTCTGGTCACATGGGAACACTCATGCTAGTTTACAGCTTTTTATCTTTAGCACCGTTATGGTAATGCAGGACTGGTTGTATGAGGTTGAAAATATTCCATGCTCCAGGAAGTGAATTTAAACTTCAACTGAATGTTTTTAAAATGTTTTTTGTTTTATATGAGCAGTGGATTCATGTTCTTGATCCTTCCACTTAACGGTCCCTTGAACTTCCCCCAACATATTGTCAGTTAAAGTAGAGGTTTCTCTATAGGGATGTTATGAACAATGCCAAGTTGCTGGGCAGTTTAGTGCATAGGCTGTAAATTATCACCTCTCAGACACTGCACCGGACACTGGTAGTTTTGACTCATCTGGATTTCCCCTGCATTAGTCACCAACTGGAATATACACACAGACGCACACAAGTATGCCCACATAACCCCCTCACAGTGTGAGAGTGATTGGCCACAGTGTGGTGTATGTGACTGATACTGATAATACATCTCTCCATAGTGCAGCAAACGTCGGGGCTACTTCATCAGCTGCTCCACCAACTGCTCTTTGGAATCCCGTATGTAAACTCTTGACATTAATAAGGCTGTGTGAATGGGGCCTCATAATGCCTTCAGGACAATGAACACACCAAAAGAAAAAAAGAGAGATTTATTCAAATAAAGAGATTGGGCTGTACAGTCTCACAGTCACAGGCTGGTTGCCATGTATGGTTTTGACTGCAGATACAATAGCAGATTAAAGCGAGCTTAGCACTCTCAAATCAGAGCCTTGCGAGGATAATAACCACATTAGACATATGTGCACTCCTACTGATGACAGTACCAGAGATGTCACTGACGTAGCTGCCAACTCATAAACACACATACATGTTAAATGAAGTAATAGGGGTTTGGTGACTGATTCCCAGCGCCTGAGCCTTAGAGTAATTAATGATGTAAGGGTTTCAGATGTCGTTGTAAATATCAGATTTAATGACATCTTGAGGTCAGTTTGTCCTTGTTATGTTGAGAGGTGGACACAGTCAAAGCTACAGCGTGTGTAAAAGGTTTATTAGACGGAATTTGTTGTATTAGTAAGATAATAATCACTCTGAACTTTTACAAGTGAGTTTTTACTGTAGTTGGGATTATGTGAGTAGAAGCTGAACTTTATTTAAGAGAACAAGCTGATTAACATCAACTGATATTTACAGCAGTGGCCTTTGGGAATAGTTGCTTAGAAATTACTTTTAAATTATTCAGTGCTGTATCTACTTCAAGGTTGGACATCCAGCTTATCTGTATTTTATCCATATGCAAACCTTTTTTGGTCAGACATTCCTAGTCCCCAGAGGATGAATCTGAATAACTTCGGTGCTCCTCTGACCTTGAGGTTGACATTTAGGTTTTTAGTGAAATGTCTCGACTACTGTTGGATGGATCACCATTCAAATATTGGGACAGGGGTTCAAGTTCCCCCTGAACATGGCGTCCAATACTGACACTTTGTCAAATCAGCGGTATTACTCGTCCAAATAAGACGCCCTGGGCTTTCAACTAACCCCAGTGTAACCTATGTCAGGTGGCATAGTAGAGTCAAAGTTGACATATTTAAAGTTTTTCAGTTGCACAATGTAATTTACTTTTTTCAACCCAAACCATGATCTTTAGGTCTTGTCAGGTTTACTTGACAATTAAGATCCCCAGATTTCATTCGCAGTTAGAAAAATTGAAGCCTGTGGTATATAAAAAATATCAAGGAAATCTGTGTGTGAGCATTTTAGGCTTGTTGATTGAGTTATTGGCTGAGTATGGCAATTTTAATTTGAAATCTTGTTTGATAGCAAATACCGTGGATCAGTATATCTTTAAAATAACAGCACGTGTGCATGTGTCTGCTGTATCAGTGCGGCCTCTCATAGGTGCACAGCAGGCAGTCACAGGGCAGAGAGAGACCGTATGCCTTTATTAAAAGTACAAGAGACCAGCTTAGAGGTTTGTGTTCCCTGGATACACCACATCTATTTATTATCATTCCCCCCGCTTTGACCCTACCTTTTATTTTAGCCTGCTGATTCATCTGCTGTCCATCTCTGAAAACCACACAAGACCTCTAGGTTTACAGTGTCATACTGCTTGGGCGAGAGGGAGAGTCTGATGTTGAATTGGAAGTATGTGCTAAGATGTGGCACGATATGTGTGTGCGTGCTTAAATGAGAGTTTATGTAGGCTACTGTAAAGGATTTTCAAGCTGCAATATGCTTGTCCTGTGTCTCTTTATCGCCGCTCAAGCTAAAAGAAGATTTAGGAGTGTCAATTTCTTCTCTTTTTCTGTCAATGCCATCTCTTCAATAATTACCCTCAACTAATGTCTCACTAGGCATCTGAGACCTTGGCCAAAGAGCTTGTTTCACTTCCTTAAAATCAAATATTTGGGTGATTTTTGTTGTTTCACTGACTGAACCTTTGTACTTTTGCTGAATCGGCCATGTTCAGTGTGCTTGAAGCCTCCCGTGCCTTGGTGAGAGGTGTGATGCAACAGACGTGCCGTCCACCCGCAAAACCACTTGGGAATCTGGGAGGAAATATCTGAACATGGCCAGAGAGATACATTGAGGAGTAGGGTAGGGTTGAGCTTTTCAGGTTAGTGGCTCGCTGTGTTTGTTGGGTGGGGAGGTGCAGGGTCAAATGTAGTTGCTTGATATGTATATCCTAGCAACTGAGAGTGAGTGATATCTTGTACAACTGTAGCTGGGGATTGGTCAGAGAGCTGGCACAAGCCCCTCCTATTTGTAGGGTAGCCTAAGAAAAAATACCTAAATTCAAAACATCTCTCAAACTTTCTCCACTCTGCACTGTACCCTCCGGCACTTTAATCTAGGCCTGTTTTTTTATTTATTAATTTGTATTTATAATTTTTGTTTCGTTAATTGTATTTATTCTTGTATCTCATGCATAGCCGTTGATACGTGTGCCTTTATGACAAGCTGATCATTTTGAAGATCTCAAGAGCAAAGTGAAGTTTGACATGACACCATGAATTCACCTTACACAGCTGTGCAGTATTACCCAGAGTTTCCCTTTCATCGGTAAGTACATAAATATTGTGTACTGATGATTGACAGAATGAGTTTTTCCTTAATGCTGCGATGTATCTGGAGCCATGTAATGTTAGCACGCTAAATTAATTTATTGCATGGATTTAACATGTGGTCGAAATATGGAAAAATGTGTATTCAGCTAAAATATTTTACATATAATAAGTACGGAACAGAGCAAATTCAGAATATCTGACTTATTGAACAGGCTGGGAATCTCCCACTGTTCAGTCTGATACTGTGTGGAGGTCCAAAGTGACCTGAGAACAGTTGTGTCTGCCTGGATCCTCAGCTGCTGCTCTGTCCTGATATATTTATAAGTGTGTCATACATATGGCAACAATGCATGTGTAAAGAGCCATCAGGTCCAAAGTGGCAAACAGATTACTTGACCTCACTATTGCTTGGCCCTCTTTGGACTTTTGGCCATTTCAGTGCAAATGCATGTTGTAATTTAAAAGATGTCAGATGTTATGCCGATGCTTTAATCCACAAGGACAGGTGACAGTCTGAGTCCATTTAATCAGATGCATTTCATTCACCTGCAGCACAATACTGTGCAGTATGTTTTGGGGCATAAATATAGGTCTACCAACTTCATAATGATAACATCATGAGGTTACATACCTAGTTTAGAGTAATTTAGTTTATATATTTGCACCGGTAACAATACAAAAAAGGCAACACATTAAAGGGTTAAACTAGGACTGTGCTACTGAGCTAAAAAAAAAAGGCATCTCATCCAAAAAGAAATAAATCAGTGACTACTACAAATTACATTTTATCAATCAAAAAAGGAGAAATTATGAAATACATGATGAACAAACAATAATTATATTTGCTGTGATCTATCTATCTATCTATCTATCTATCTATCTATCTATCTATCTAACGATCTAACTATTTTAGTATATATATATATATATATATATATGTCTGTATATCTGTAAATTAAAGCAAACTCATCCATGTTGCATGAACAAATAACTCCACTAGATTATCACTGCATGTCTGATCATTAATAATAATTGAGTTAATTCATGATCGGACAAGCATTCATGTCAGTCTTAACCTTTTTAAAATGACAACAAACCCACACAGTGTTCTTTTTTAAACTGACTGTTTACTATGTTGTCCTGTTATTTAGAAGTACATCTTCTATTTTGCTGCACTGCCCTAATCGCTGGTTCATCTGATTGTATCTCTGCTAACAAACTGTGTTGTGTCTCACTGGGCTCCTTGTTTATGAGATATTTTGAGGTTACTATATGTTCAATAATAGTCATTTATGTTATATATTATTTTATTGCATCTTCATACCAATTTTCTGGGGGACTTTTAACGCAATGCCACAGTGTCCTTGTAGTTGTCATGTTTGTAAGTCAGGTATTAATCATGGTCGTGCACCAAGCTTTGGTAACTTCCGCCTCTGTTGCTTACAATAATTAATTTATTGGACCTTGATAACTACACTGCTTTTGGTTTAAAACATATTACATGATGCTTTCAAATAAAACCTGCAGGGGTGATTTAATCTTTTTGAGTAAGGAAAGTTTGGTTGCTTTCTAGTATCATGGTATCTTTTTGGTCCAGTAAATCTCTCCTCCTCGCTTGTTTTCTTTGCATTCCAAAGAATTGTGCTTGTCCTTTTGCCCCAGAGGATTTGACTTCGGACTGTTTCACTTCCATAAAAGTAAGGGGATAAGAGGAGGAGAAACTTTGGGGCTTTCTATTGTTTTGCAGTCCTGTCCCTCTTCCAGCCAGGGCTGACAGATGAGGGGGAGAAGGTCTTTGAACAAGTGATTAATAAAGACACTGGAGAAGGGCCCCGATCGGCTGGGCTGTTTGTTTTGATTGCATTTTCATCGGTTGGTGTGCCCAACCTGCCAGGAAACAATGGCCATCCCTGTTTAGTGCTGACCTCTGCCCCAGTCTCGTCTGGACGCGCTGCACAGTCTTTAAGTGGATGCTGAACAGCCTTCGCCTCAGGCTAACTGAAAAACTCTCTGAGTAACCAGATACTCAAAAGCAGACAAACAATGGTCAGAACGGGGATAAACCCATCTTTCTGAAGCATCTTTCAATAAAACTGCTAAATATAATGAAAGAGTTTCCTTTATAGATATTAAAAATGTATTTAAACCAACAATGTACCATAGGGTGTCCATGAACAATAATAATATAATAATATTCCCCCCATTTTGCTGTTATTGTATTCAAATCTACTGAAGTCTCAACAATTAAAATATTATACAGTCTTTCAGGTGAAATTTGACATTTTGTACTCATTGTTAAATTGCCTTGCTTGGTTTGAAGACAATGCATTTGTAAAACCTATCCAATGAGTTTTAATAAAAACTTTTGCAATTGAAAAAGCCTGTCAGAACATGCACATACTGTATGTAACTGCAGAGAAAACACGAACATCACTAAATCTGGATTAAGCACAAATCTTTAAGAGCGTGTGACATCAGTGGGTGTAGGCTACCGTTTTATCATGATACAATTCAATTGTATTTCTAGGCTTACACAGCAATACATAATGAACCTGATGCACAACTTTTGTTGTGATTATATTCTGGATTCTGATTTGTCAACTGACAATGCAGTGAGGCAAAGTCTTTTTAACAAGTTAATGAGGTGCCAGATGAACGAGTTCTGCCAAATTGCCTAGACCTGTTTCAAAGGAAATTAATGCCTAAATCTCTGCCTTTTAACTCAGCAGAGGTCAGTACAAAGACCACACCTAAATCCTTCCTTCTTCATTAACAAAGATGATACCACACCTGCTCTACCCACAATCTACTCATAAGTTTTTCATTCATCCACTTTGTTTTCTTGTGCTGTCAAGTATGTAAATATGCGATAAGAAACCCATACTGTTTAGATTTATAATGTCTTAAATATTTAAGAAATATACTTTCCAGGTTTGGAAGGCCTATATTTTTATTAAATAGTAAGTAGCCTAATTAAGTAACTAATAATTTCAATAAATTCTAATAAGTTTGCAGTGTGTCACTATTATAGAACAAAAATAGATTGTCTGTGTTTGGTGAATTTGTTTAATAGTGCTAAAACATTTTAACTAACCATAATTTTTTTTAGAGTGAGAGAGAGAGTTTGTAACAAATATATCAACAGCCGCCATCTTTATCTTCTCTGTGTGCTCCCGGGAGGCCTTGAAGGCAACCACAACAAAATCTGTATACTCAAGACCGGTATTATGTTTTTACCGCTGGATTTCCTGAATTTAATATAAACTCCATTCGGCGCAGCTAATTGTGCATGAGACATGTCAAGTCAGTGCAGAAATAATAGCTAAGGTAGCTGAAGTGAGTGAAAATTACCAATAGCTTTGCTAGTTAGAATCAAATGAGGCTAACTGTAACTCTTGCTAAATAGGCTAACGTTAGAGTTCACAAGGTAACGTTAGCTTTAATAGCTCAGTGCAGTTTACCTTAGCTCAGTAACTTTTATTTATTTACAGTGAAAACGTAAAAAAATTTACTTGCAAAACGAATTGGCTTTAGTTATTAACGTTAATACCAATTTTGTGAAAGTATTTAAACCGTAACTAACGTTAGCTTGCTTCTTTTTATAAAAGAACGATCATTAAGTTAGCCAACATATCCAATCTATGTAAGCCGTATCTTGTAGTAACGTTACGATCAACATTGTAATGTTTTTGTTTCACATCTTTTTTTTGCCATAGTCTTTTTTTGAGTGTGTTCAGCCTGTCAAAATGCTGTTCAGTAATCACAAACAAGTTTATTCCCTAATGTGCTTGATCCAGCTTGTTTATAGCAAGCTTGCTGGAGTGACTTATAGATGTGGTCTATACGATTACATTATAATTTGAATAATTGGTTGGCCAAATCTCCTACATCTCCTTTTTCTTAAAAATGTTTTTGGCTTTGCAAACTTCATTTTCATCCTAAACGCAACACTCCTTGATGTGTACCTCCTGTACAATTTAAATTATTTGCTTCATTAAATATGCCTGTGTTTATAAGTCAGGTATTAATATCATTCATCACGAAGTGTTGGGGAATTCCAAAACCTAAAATAGTGCCAGCTTCAGATTATGCCCCCCCCCCCTCCAAAGCCCGTCCGGCTGTACACATACCAGAAGTTGCAGCAGTGCTATCATATAGACTGTGGGGGGAATTCCGCCTGTCTCAGACTGCAGCGTGCGCCACTTCAGCATGAACAATGGCAGGCTGAGCGCTGAAGCAGGTGTAATGTTTCAGGGGAGCAGGTCAAAGTGCCTCTGTCTGAATGGTGCATAATCACCATTATGTGTAGTACAAATATTCAGTATTATGCAGGCTGACTTCTTCACAATGGAAGAGCCCTTCATGAATGGCTGCCAGCAGGACTCCTCCTCCTCCTTTCCTCCACTGGCTGGGTGGCCAAATCTCTGCCCTGCATGTCAACATTTATGTTCAGTGTTTGCTGACATTGCAACTTTCAAAGCTAGCAATAAAATTTTTGTGCCTTTAAAAATACATGCCAACAGTAATGTAAGTATTGCTAATTTGGATTAAGTTGTTGTAAAATGAAAATGATGGTGGTTGGCTCTGTCTCCTTGCAGACTCAGGGACCCTCCATCTCGTTTGTCCTGGAGAGAGAGCTCATTCCTCACCACCATGTCCCAGAATCAGTCAGCACAGACGACTGACTCCTTCAGCCAAGATGTATTCAACCAGCTGTTTGATATGCTGGACCAGTAAGTGAATGCTACAAAAAAAAACATTGTGCTGTAAATTACAAAAAAAACCCATACACAATCTTAGTTTAAAATGTGCATATAACAGATATTTTTCAGTATTACACGTCTCTTGTGTTTCAGATCTGCCATTCATTCAGTCCAGCCCATTGAGCTTAACTTCACAGACAGTCCAATTGATGGGTCTGCAGGAAACACCATTCAGATCAGTATGGACTGCATAACCATGCATGAGCCAGATGAGACGCTGACTGTAAGTACATAGGTTTGCTGTTCCTGCTGCCCCTGACCCTCCACAACTAGAGATAAAAAAGTAAAATTAACTATATTCAAAGTATCACAATGAACCAATTCAGTTCAGCATGCAGTGTGCTACACAACCAGCAATGATTACTGTTAACATTCATAACTTCAGTGTAGACTGAGTAATGTTTGTTTTGTTAATGGAATAGTAAGGTTCAAGCTACTGCCTTGTTTCTAGCTCATTTAGTGCTGAGCCAGTACCTTTCACAGAAACAGTATAGATTATATATATATATATATATAGACACTTTTATGCGTTGTGCGACCAAGCAGTATCATTTCTTAACCGGTTGATTTTAAAACACACAAATGACGCCACAAAGCCATACACAATGCTCCCATTTCTCTCTGACTGAACAACAATTAACAACATGATTTTTAAATGTGTTATTTTGTGCACTTATTTGTGGCTGATTAATACATGTACCTTCTGAGATTACTTTCATAATGAGTAAATGGGACTTACAGTGGTAAATTCCATATCTTCAATTTTCATATTAACAATGGAATTTCCCCAGGACAGTTGTGTAAATGTAGTGCAGAGCAGTTCAACAGCCAGTGAATGCGGCTGGTTTATCTGTTGTAGTTGTGAGATGTTGTCTGTATGGTGATGATATTATCTCATTTAGTCTGAGTTGTGCTTGACCTGGGTGGGCCCTCTGAGACAGGTAACTCTCATATTCTGTCAGTGGTAGAATGTTCATTTAGACGGGTCACAATGCAGATGGTGTGATGTAGGTAGTGGAATTTGAGTTTTCTGTGGGTTTCTTTGTGTGTGAACAACTTTAATTGAAGCACGAAGCAAGATTGTGAGTTTGCTTCTCGTGATAACACAGAGCAGACATTCATGTTATAGTGCAGTCAATTAAAGCACTGTGAAAAATAAGTCCTGCTATTAGATGTATGTAAGTTCACCCTATGAACTCCCTTGTGTTTGACCTGTAGTGAGGGACATACCTTTGTGGGTTCTGCCACTGAGAGATGGTGTGCTCGTTCCCCTCCCTGTGTAGGAATGCTGTTGTCCAGCCAGGGTGAAAAAAAATAGCAAATAAAAATTTTGTTCAAGGAGCTGAGTAATGTTACCCTGCGCATCCCCCAAGGGGGCCTGTGCTCTCTTGAACTGGTGATTAATGGCCCCACCCCCACCACCCACTTTCTTCTACAGCAAAGAGGGGCGTGGTGCAGTGATTGGCACGCCAGCAACTCGGGCAGCATCCGTGTGGGGCTAAGACCTTCGTTGCCATGGCAGTTTGCCAATCACCAAGCCCTGGTCGTTATTACCAAGTCAAGTGTCTGTTTTGATGAAAAGAGACCCCCTCCCCCTCCGCCCATGTGGAGGTGTGCCTCTTTCATGAGTCATTAGAATGCAGCTCACTGTTTAGTGCCCTTGGGGACTTATTTGTATTGTGTGGGGTTTATGTTTAATCTGAAATTCCTTTTTCATTCGGATTTTTTTCTGTAGCTGCAGGGTAACAATTTCATGTAGCACCTGCCTCTCTTGCAGAGGTCCCAACTCTCATTTATCAGTACGTGTCTGTGTAAAGGTGGGGGGTGGCAACGAGGGGGGAGGAGAAGAGCAAGCACAGGGTAGAATAACATGAAGGAATGTAGCAGAAATAGTGGCAGGAGAAACGCTATATCCTACCCCAAACAGCTGATTTTACACCCAGATAAAGCTCTGATCAGCTGTGCGTAGAGGACGCAGTGTTGAGCAGAGGGACAGAGGTCCTTTTCAGATACAGGGTAGAGTTTAAACAACTTTAACACAGAGCAGCTCAATCGACACGCAGCTTCTCTGAGATCTAATTACATGTTTGTGTTTGGATTCATACTTTTTTTCACCACACCTCAAGAGTCTTGATGTGCTTCTAGTTCAGTGTCTAAGCAGCTGATCAGTTTTCTTAACTTTAACAGAGGTTAAATGTAATCTGCTGTCATCTAAAAAGAATCTGCCGAATGTGGTGCAATCATCGTCATCATCATGTCAGCATTGGATATTTATGAGTCAGTACATCTACCTTGCCTGACATTTTACATAGCTGTACCTCCCACACTGCAACACTAGTTTTACTATTTTCAATTTTGAAATTGCGTAAAAAGAAGCACAACTTAAAGTTTAACTTGAGTTATTATTAGTGACTCTTAACTGTATTCTATCAAAAGTCAGCCTGTGCATTAAATACCCAACCATAGCAAGTTGATCTTTTAGTTTTTCATGCTCCACCAGTTTGCCTCCAGCACGTTAAGAAGTGTTTTTTAAGGCGTAGTACCAAGGAATGAGTGCCTGCTACGGTCCACTTGAATAACTGTTAAGTCGGGGAGTTAGTATGTGACTATGGATGTGGGGATGCTACTGCATGAGCCTCTATTAACCGTATCGCTTGTGTTTTTTCTTATATCTTTCTTACAGCATAGACCAGCCCTAACTCTTAACTTTTATACAGCAGTATTATATCATGCCAGGTTTAACTGAAAGACTTGTTGGTCACACCCTTTGAGAGAAGAGTGCATGAATAAATCCTTCACAAGTAATCCCATAAACGTGTTTTAGAAAACACCAGTTGTCCATCAACATGCTTGAGTTCAGTTGGAAAAAAAACAAAAGAAGTCTCAGCTAGGCTATGACCTGGTATTTATTTTTTCAAAAAGGCAGTTGTTGACTTGAATATGTTTTTGTTTTTTTGTTTTGAAGTGAGCAGAGGACATAATTTAAACAGCACCATTAGAGAAAAGTGGCTTTCTTTGATATCAGAAATAACATTCAAATGAAAAAGCTACTCTCCATGATGGGATGGAGTTTTTTTTTTGTTTCTGGGCAATTTTGACCAAAGTCTTTCAGAAACTAAGGAACTAAACTTGGGAACTAAATTAGAAACTAAAAGCCCCTTTTGTGCTTTACTGATTTTCACTGCAGAGGAAGCTCTGTGGCAATTAGGCAAATTAGACGAATAACAGATTAAAAAAACGAAAGCTTTGTTTGAGATGGAATTTCTGCATGCAGAGAGACAACAACACAGAGGTCTTTGAAATGTACTACTGCATGACGTTTTAAAGGATGTTGCAAAGCTGACATGCAGAGACATTGAAAACACCAGAAACCTGGCAATCTACTTTTTTTTTTTCTGAAGGGAGCAAATATAGAAGAACAAAAACCAAATAGAGGTGCATTTCATTCCTTTAGTTTTCAGCTCTTTATTTTATTCTTGTATTTTAGATCGCTCTGGAAAACATCATTTAAACATGAACATTAAACAAACTTCCAACCCCGTTGTGCTAATGTTGTGGCTACAACCACTGCTTTCCTTTAGTCTGAAGAATATTTTGTTGTGTGCATCCTTTTGGCCTGTGTTTGACAAGTCAGCCATGTTCAGTACTTCAATCTCCACCCTGATAGTTCTTTGCCTATTGAAAATAATAGTAATAATAATAAATAATAATACATTTATTTGTAAAGTACTTTTTAAGGTGGCAGCACAGAAAGTACTGCTGTTGGACCATCTGCAGGCCCAGAAACCAAAACTAGAACTAGGTTCCTGTCAAATGCTAAATAAGTTCCCTTAGATCCTAAAAAGTATCAGTGGTCAAGTATGGTCATTATTGGCCATTATTGTGAAATGAAAATGAAACACTGATTTATTATCAAGTTGTAATGATCTATTATGTCAGAGTATATCAGTGTATTTTCCTGATCCTCAGTGGCTTCGCTGATTCTTAAAATACAATAATATTGTGGAACAGAAATCTGCCCTCGGCAACAGAGAAGTAAAAACATAATGCCAAGTTAAAGGTCTAACACTCAGAGTGTACAGACACTTGTCCTAATACTCCTGTTTATTTAACAAATACAGTTCACTGTGTTGATCGGTTACCAAAAGGGCTCCCTGATATTGAATAATTTCATTAAGTAGAGCTTGAACTTAGAGCAACACACACTACATTCCAAATGCTTGTAAAATGATGGCTGATAAATCACTCCTTCATTTACACGTGCAGCTGTTTTTTTTATTTCTCTTTAAATTTGTTTAGCCTCTGAATTCTTTGCACAGTATGTAAATTTGTTTTAACAAAAGCAGCTTAAGTTTATTTCTTTAAAACAGGAGCATTTCAGGATTTGGTGGCAGTTGATTGTGGGGGCTTTAACAATTGCCACCCAAGTGATGCTCTCTGTCTTTCCATTGACTGCTTGCGTCAGTGTGGATGGGAGCTCACACTGTTTTCAGGGCAGGTGCCTGTGCCTTCGCAGCCACTGCAGCCTGACACCTGATACTAAACTAATCTAGCTGACTTAAGGAACAGGCTCTTTAAAGGTGAAAACTTTAGTAAAGCCTCTTTTGTCTGAGCCCCTGGATCTGCAGATCTTTACCTGCTGCCTGGTCTGACTCTCTTCTTAGTTTCTCACCACTGTGGCAGTTTAACGAGATATGACTGAAGTCTGTGAGTATACAGTTTAAGATGGGCAGGTAATATGTTACCAGTAAACTGATTTTTTGGTTCTTAAATTATAATCCACAGTCTAAAGCCGGAGACAGATAACTTGTGCCACAAACAAGCATGGTGTTAGGATTGGTTTCATTATTGGTTCATTATTGTCTTCTCTGTTTAATTATACAATAAGCATGTGATTTAAAAATAGATATAAGATATGTGTTGAGCCCCAGCTGCATTATATAGCCAATATACTAAGTCTGTCCTGACCTGTTTAAATACAGCTACAGTTGTATATTTTACTACAGCTCACCCAAACATTAGGTGCTCTAACTTCTTTTCTTTTCAAATGCCAATGTTGTTTTAACATAATTAGAAGTTTGTTTAGCTAAACTAATTGTCACGCTCAAAAGGTTTGGCTAGGTCTTCACTGACACTTGGGTCCCCTTGGGAGGCCATTGAATTGGGTTCTTTAAAGTGTTGATTTGCATTTGTGGCACGCTGACCTGTGGGCTTACGGCCCCA